TTATTTGAATAACATAAATACAATTAAAGTTATCACTTTGAGAACATTAGGATTTTTTTGTTTTATTCATTTAATTATTAAAAATAGTTGGTAAATGCTATAAAAGAAATACAAAAGCTACGACACAGATAAAGTTCTTCCTTATGCATTGTAGAATTTTGATAATTCTGCTATAAATACAGAGGGAGTAAAGTTGTCCCGCGCAAAACAGTTTTTACTATGTTGTACATTTGTAAGACGGAGACAACGCATGCGGGTGTGGTGTCCTCTTAATATTATTAGAACGCAAAGTTTAATATCTCAGAAGCAGAGAAGCTACTCAGTTGAATTTCTATTTAGTAACATAAAAAAATGCAGGTGGTTCTGAATTGGAAAAAACCAATGTTTATTCTGCAACTGCAGGATGCTTACAAAAATTCCCTGTTACTAAAAATATAATAACTAGTTTACCAACTTAAAAATAAATATATATATATAGGTACTAACAAATTTAAAAATATGCAGAATTTGAATACATTTAGGTATATATTGTATATTCGTAAATGTATCATGTATGTTTGAGGACAAACGGGGAGAGCATGTTTGGTGAATCATCAATCATCCTTCAGTAATATAATATATCATATAATAATAATAATTTGCTTACTGAACTGCGCAGGTGGCGCTTTGCACGTGCGATGAAGGGGCACTAATGATGAAGTTGTCGGACGCCATGGTGGACGACTTCAGGACGTTCGTGTCAGACGTGTTCGAGAGCCGAACGGAACACATCAGCGACGGTTTGGCCAAGGAGCAGATGGCACTGTGCGAAAAATACGCGTATCTGTACGACCGGACGCTGAACCGGGCTACTCTGGCTATGGATTTCCTGCGGGAAGCCATGCCAGTGTTCAGCTGGCACAAATACCAGGCGGACCCGGATGAGTACTTGAAACGGACGATAATGCGACGGGCGGCGGTCGTAGCCGCATCATCGGGAGATGCAGCGGCGGCTGCCGAAGGTGACGGACGTCAGGCCACTCGCGCACCTGCTTCGCTCACCGATGACGAAATCGCTGAGGCGGCCGGCCGCGAGGACGATGACAGCGCCCAGCAATCGGTCATCAAGAAGCTGCTGTACAGGATCAACTGGCTGCGGACCGAAGTGGGCCGGGTGGATTGCGAGGGACAGCGGCTGTACGAACAGCACAGCGAACTAACAGTCAGTTTAGCCGACCTCAACCGCCGTCTATCCGACGATCAGTGCCGATCGGCCGGTGAAATTGACCGTCACAAAAACGAACTTACCGTGCTTCGACAACGATCAGCCGACCAGACGGCGATCATCGATCGGCTAATGGAGACCATACAGTTGACCATGCAGGACAAGCAGCCTTCGTCGGCCGGATGTTAGCAGCCCCCGCTGTGACGCCACCGACTATAATATGATTTATTTTAGTGTCCGCTACCCTGTTCCAGCTGTAAAATTAATTTCACACGAATCGTCGATTGCCACTATAATAGGTATATTATAATATTTTATTTCATGTACTTTCATTTTAATTATATCTTTTAACGTTTATCATAAATCATAATACAAATCTGTCCTTCAAAATCGCATTGATTTGTTAAAAATATTGTTATTTTTAAATAATCTCCCATAATCGCATATGCGCATTTAGATTTTAGACTATTTGGTTCTGTAAAATATAACAACAACATTTTATGCAATAAATTTGAATAATAACATTTGGTTACAATTAATTTATACCTACATGTTTTTAAATTTTGCGGCCGAATTTAAAAATTAAGCAATGACGTTTTATCAACTGCGACCTAAATTTTTTAATGAAAACAATTTCAAAAATGTTAGTTTTAGTAGTTTTACATAGGATAGAGATGGAAAATAGATTTTCAAGTGGTGTTTATGTTACCACTTAGATTTTAAATAGGAAGTATAACTGTCTTAAGACCTTCCAGAATGAAATTGATCATTAATGTAACTTAATGACGATCTATAGACGTTGACAAATTTTTCTACATGACTAGTTTTAAAGAAAAAAAAGGTGCTCTGCTGTACAGTAGGTTACAAATGGGTCACTGTATAATGGATTGTATTAAATTTAAATTCAATGATAACCTAATCATTGTATAAGAAAAACGATTCTGAGCGGAGACGGTATGTCAGTCTAGGTATAAGACATATAATATACTTATCTATGGTATTAAAAAAAATTGCCCTATTATAAATTCCAAATTAATCATATCACAATATCCATTAGGTACTTATATCGCGTTATACATCAACAACAACCCCTGATACTATCATAGATATATTATAATAGTGTACTTTAGAAGTTTCAAGTGCCCGCGAATAATATTATACAATCACAACAAAATAACTAAAATAGTTATTCTAGGTTTTTAATATGTAATTTCGTCCAAATTTGAACTTAAAATGACTATAAAAATAAACTGTGTTTATGTATATTTTAGATTTTTTGGTAACAGAATTAACTACTTACATGTAATCTTGTTTTAAATTTTCAATCCTTAGATATAAAAGTTGAACATTTTATAAATTTTTAACTACAAAATAATTATTCAATTTTAAATTTGATAAATTTTGGAACAAACAGGATGTAAATAATAAGAATAATGTGTACGTCAAAGTAATAATATCATCTATAACTTTTATATTGCTTATTTTGCACACTACAGTTGTATTATTCTGGGAACCAAAAGGTTCTGAGTTCTGACTGATTTATAAGTTTCACTTTAGACTTTATGTTCTGAGTTCTGATGAACAGACAGATGAACAATTTAGTTTTTAAATTTGTGATTTAAATTAGTATAATATAATGTTTGTACCTATAATATGACTATATGGTTATATATACCTAACATATTACATATGGGTACCTAATAATCTGAAGTATGTTGTAGTTAACACATTTACATCAAACATCAATCAATAACCTCCTTAATGGATGAAGGTATTAACTCACAATTTTTAAATTATTTAAGAGGACAGTTTTAGTGGTTTAATTATATAAACCCTTGGAACTTTTTAACTGTTTAAAAGCTAAGAAATTTTTGAAAACAAAAATTATGTATTTTAAAGTCAAAAGCAATACCTACTCTGAAATTTTATAAATTTAATTGCAAATTTTATCTATTCATATGATAATAGGGGACTAATACAATAACATCTTAATCCACCAAACTAAAACGACAGATTTTATAAATAACACCTTTATTAATTTGATATCTCCGTAAATATATGTTATTTTGTTCTGATATTTGTATAGCTTATCAGCTTATGTAATACGTCATGATGCATAATTTTGTATAATAATAACGATTTTAAAAAAAAAATGTCAGTTAACACCTTCATCCACTAACCATACTATACATTGACAGAACTTGTCTAAACCGGCGGGCTGTGTTGGTCGATAAACGCATATAGGACATCCGATTTCCGAATAAACACGCATATATATTATAAAATATGTATATTTTTCACGTATTGATTGTATTTCCAATACACGGAATTTCTGAAGGTAACGCCGCACAAGAATAATGGAGAAGAAAAGAATAAAGGCCATAATTTTTTCCGAGAACAATATTGAGTACACAATAGAGACGCCCAGAAAATAGCTATGTATTCTTCTTTCGCAGTGGTAGTTGCAAATAATGGTCGATTATTATTTCAGCGTAGGTACCTACCAAGAAGCCACAATACAAGACGCCACTATCGTGTTCTTGAAAGAACCACAAACAATATTACTCTTCGACGTCCATTCATACCGACTAATTCGAATACATATTATAAATTATAATAAACAAGATCAGTCCACGTGCGAATTACTACCGTGTGGGGATGCTCATAGATCGTACCTATATATGACTTTTTATACCTATCTGGTACTTACTAATCTGAAGTCAGTACCTAACAAATTTACAGTACCATCAATCAATAACCATTATATTAAATTTAAACAGTCTCATTTTTATTGATGTGAAACATCTAATGCGGAGGGTGAAACCAGCTGTTGGCGCACTCGTAAAGTGCAAACTGCAAAGCGCAAACTTGCAAAGCCACACGTTCAAAACATCGAATGCGCCTTTAAAATAAAGAATAATTTTTCTTAAAAAAATCTAAACAATTTGTTTTTGATTATACTTTATATTATATTTATTTACTTCCTTCCGATTCCTATGCATATTTTCTATACAAAATAATTCCGATGTGCCCTCGACTGCTTACTTTTTTGTAATTAGTAATTACTTATACATACATATAACATACATCAATAAATTAGTTCAAGTAAGATAATGTGTGAATTTGACCGTATATAATATAATATATTATAAAAGTATAAAACAGGTCTATCATTAGATTGCTTACTTTATTGTGGGTAATGACAATTATCAATACCTAGTTTTAGTAAATCGACATGAATAGGAACTAATTAGGTAAGCATAATATACAATATATTCCACATGGACCATATGGGGGCACAGGGAAATAATTAATAAGGGTACCTATATATTTGGATACTTACCATTCGAGACTGAGATACCTCTCACCGCAACAGTGAAGCGTCTTGAATGATTTGAGGGGCCCGTACTCAGTGGTGCTCAGTTCCTTGGTGAACCGAACGCCGGAGTACAGCTGTTGTGCTTCGTCAACTTTTGGGAACAAATTGTCGTCACAGTACGCGGCAGAACCACCTCGGACTACGGAAGCGGCGGCCAACAACAGGGGAACCAGCAGGGGACGGAAAAAGGACATTTTCGTAAACTTCAATTACCTACTGGACTAGAATGGAGACGAAGAGAAGCCGTAATCTCAATTGTTTCAAACGGAACGCTGACCAGTCATTTTATAATATTATAGTTGGTGACATGCCACGACGCTTACGACGATTTTGAGACGCGATAGGACAGCGACAAACAACAGACAAAGTGATTACCCTTCAGCGCATGTTCAGTTAATCAAAAGCCACCAGTTATTAATGATTGGTCAAAAATACAAAATTACTGTTTACGTTGAGCTACCAGAATCACCGGTTAATGAAGAAATTGGTTAATTGACTGTGAAAACTTATATACGTTTTTTAAATATATTTTAATATTTTATCCTTTGGAATGGAATAATCCTTCCCCTTGAATCTTTACAAAATAATTAAATATTGGCTCAATTTTATTTAAGGAATGTTTATGCTCTGTGTTCGTTTGAGTGACAAATTTGGCTATCTTGTATCGTCTTCTTGTCGACCCAGTAGATTAAGGTACATGAGCCAACTGTACCGTGCTGTTCATACATTGTTTATGGTACCATTTTACCTGACAGGATTTTCAGCAGAAAAACAATTAATTCAGTTAGAAATGTATACAGATTTTGAAGAAGATCAAGTACTTATACATTTTTTTTTTGGCATAGTTTTGAATTGATAATTTTTTATATTATATATTATACATTTTATCTAATAGTTACATCCAGTTACAGACATTTACTTCGAGATGTTAAACCATGATATTCAAATTTATTCTGCCAATATAAACATCTTTGCTAACCTGGGCGGTTTACGATACCTCATGTTTCATTGGCCGATAGTATCGGCTTGTTTAGGAATCGGATCAACTTTCCTATTTGTATTTTTTGTGTTTTCAATGTCATGGCGACATATATATGATTCTGAAGTTTATAGAAGTGAACCAAATGGTAAATAATTAATCATTTAAAAAATAATTTGTTTTTGTTCATTAGTATTTTAAATTTGTATTTATTTGCAGATATTTTAGCCCGAACAGCCATCGAACAGTTGGATGAATTTGATTCTGAGGATAAATCAGAAATATCAGATGATTTATCTAAAAAAGAGTTTATTCCTTATAGTTTTTCATCATCCAGCCCAATGATTCCTGAACCATAGTTAATAATATTATTTCTAATTAGAAATATTTTGATTTGTCATAACTTGATAATGGTATAATTTATAGATTAGAGAAACTCTTTTATTTTAGGTACCTATAATATTTTTGTCATCTTTGATTTAGATTTAAAACGGACAGGTACTAGAAAAATATAGAGTATAGACTGTTTATTATTTTATTTTATTTTTTATTTTTATTCAACTGTATCTGTGTTACTTTTATTTAGTGTTTTGTATAATACTTAAATTGTTAAATACTTAAAAAGTTCTTAAAACTGTTTGTACTTAAGTGTTTAAACTTATAATTATTTATTTTTTTATTTTGTTTGAATTAGTTAAAATATTAAAGAATAATATTTTTTTAGTTTTATATCTTACTGTAGTTACCAAATTCTATAGTTGTTATAATATGTATATAATTTTAAATTTTGAAGCATTTACTATTTACATTTTACAATGTAAATATCAACACAAGAAAATGTAAGCATTTGTTACTTTGCCATCCATTTTAATAATGTGAAAAAAATTTGTTTTTTTTGTATTTCTAAAAACCGTATAATAAATAAAAATTAATGTAATTCATTTAAATTGTATTTATAAATTATTTTATGTTATTGGTAAACAAATATCCCAATGCTCTTAAGTTAAAATACTTGTAAATCAACATTGCTCAAAGTCTAATTTTAGATTCTGAGTGGAACGATGAATGTATTGATTTTACAATGATGTGTGTTTTTATTTTATTTTTTTTATTTTTTTTTTTGTGACTGTGTAGTGTGTACACGATAAGTAGTCGAAATAATTCTTCGATTTTCAACTATAGTATCTTGTTCGATTGGAAAGTGAATCTAATTGGTGCATTCGGAAGGTCAAATTTTAAAATTACCAATAGTTTACTATTGTGTGCTACTGTGCCACAATTGTCAATAATTATTATTTACGACAAGACATGCGAAGATCATCGGCTGTTGTAATAATATTAATTATTATCTGTACTATATATAAACGAGACCGTCCTGATTGACTGATTCATAACAACGTAAAGCCGAACCTATTTGAGCTATTGATTTAAAATTTTGAGGGTAGATAAATATTATAATTTCACCAAGATCAAAAAAGGATTTTGCATAAAAACAAAATTGTAAATTTTACCTTTCTTTTTCCTGTTTTAACCGACGACCTGGCGGAGACTGCTTTCGCATTCTTCAGCGTGTAAATTGTACCTATACCATAGAGTAATGACTAGGGTAGAGAACTTGTAGCTCTAAAAAATCACCAAATATGCACTTAAATATATACAAATATGCATTAAAATTTAAAATTATGCATTTTAAAATGAATATTTTTGAACAAAAAATAAGAATTTTTCTGTAGGTAACTATTATTTTAATGAATACATTTTACTTACAACTTTATTTTACAACTTACAAGTTTCAATTAATTATTTGAATTATTTGGGTTTATTTTATGGGTTTTCTCATCTGGATAATCCTTCAAAACTTTCAACTTTCAACTTCTTCAACTATTAAAAAACAAAAGAAAAAAAAATATTTTTGTTTCGAATATTTAAAATTAACACACATTTTTACCTTGAAAGTTACACTGAACAATAAGATGTTTTTTCAAATTTTCAAACAGAAAAATTTTTCTATTGTCAGCTAACAGCACTTTGAACATTGAAAAATAACGTTCAACATCAACGGAATTTATAGGAGCATATTTAAAATATCGCGGGCTTGGAATCAAAGAGTTCTATAACAAAAAATTTCAAAAATGGTTTTTTATCTGTTCAATTAAAAATTATTTTACTCTATTTTTTAGTCTTAGAAAAAATAGTATCGATCCCATATTTAAAAAGTTACCAGAAACAAAAGGTTCTATGTGACCCTTATCCAAACAATGTGTTGGATACATCGATAGAACATTTTGTTTTTAAATTTATATTTAAATCAAAAAGTGTTATCTAATAAACTTTATTTGTTGTTATTTATAGAAATTGGAGTATTTCACACGCCGCCGTACTAAAATACCGAAATAGGTTACTAATACCCTAGATAATCAGGTCAATACCTTTAAAAATGCACAAAAAAAAGCACATAGTTAAAATTAAGTTAGAACGAATCAATTAATTTGGAATCAATATTATGTTCTATCGATAGAACGTTTTATTTCTAAAAAATAGAATTTTGAACAAAATGTTCTATCAGTAGAACCTTTTGTTTCCAAACTAGGAATTTTAAAGTTATTTAATATTTTGAGTACTTAAAAGAATTTATTTTTGCAATATTTATTAATAAATTGATAGAACTGAAGTTTGTGGATTTTTTGAAGTCAAATATTTCAAAATCGCTTTGGCAGAAATATGTTATTTTAATTTTTGAATCTTAAAAACGCTCTACTGAACAATTTTGATAATGTCACATAGAACTCTTTGATTCCAAGCCCGTGATATGCTAAATCGCCAAGGCTCAAGATTTCAGGTATTCTGACTATTGAAGTTTCTGCTCCAGATAAAATTTTTGAAATTTGAGCCAATATTTGTTGACCTTTATTTATTCATCTTTTCTTGAATCATTTTTCCCACTGTACCGGGTACTTGATTAAATTTAAAAAAATCGTCTTCAATTATTTTTATGGTGGTTTATATTTATTGGTGTTCGCAATAATAACATGCGGATCTTACCCACTACCCCCACCTTGTAATTATAGGTTCCGGAGCAAGTAAAAGATCAGATGCTGATCGAAATAATTTTAAATGCAACATTATTTTGGTTGTAAAAATAAATAAATAAAAACGTCGACTAAAAAATATTGATAAAATGATAAATTATTTAAAATATTCATCTAAAAGTATAAAATGGAAGAAATGTGCCCTAAAAACCAAAAAATCGCAAAATATGCATTTATATGCACCATACATTTTTAAAACTAGCTTTTTGAAAGCATAAAACGTATTTGAATAAATATTATAAATACAATTGTGGCGTAACGTTGGTTTTATAAAGTGTTTGCTATAATAATATTATAATAAAAAAAACATAGTTTACTATACTCAATCGGCTAACAACTCTTGACCGGTCTCATACAGCTGGGTATTTTTTATTTTTCTACTGTAGATGATTTTTTGAGTCAAACAGAATAACAATGTATAACGACATGGACTTTGACGTGGCCGCCAACGACATTTCCGAGCAGATGGTTGTTATACGCGATCCCGAGTTGGCTATGACGATAGAAAAATGGGTGTTGAAACTGACTGCGGAGAACCGGGGCGCAAACGAGCTTAAGTACCTTCAACTATTGCAGTACATGATGGCCCGGGGGAAGATCAACGGTCCGTTCGTGAGGGATCCACCGCCGGGTCCCCTGGTACCGTTAAGTCGGTACGTAAATCCACCTCCTTGCAGTGGTCATGGCCGGGACAGTGGTGGGGTCGAGTGTTGGCAGACGAGCACCTGCAGCAGGGCCGCGCAGACGAGGTGCGATGATATGGACGGTGACTACGAAGACGAGGACTTTGAAGAGCAGGTGGACAACGACGCCAACAACGACGAAACGACAGTAAACGGTGACTTGCACAACAACGGCGGAGAACTGCAATCACCGCGGTTGGAGGACATTGGCCAAGACGACGGGGTGCAGGCAAAACGCGACGGTCATTTGGCGGGTGGTGGTGGGGGAGAGTGCCGTGGACCAGCCCCAAAGAAAAACCCATTCACCAAATTGTGTGATCCGTGTTTGGACAATTTCGGACGGCACTTGCTAAAGAAACAACCAGGACCATTGGACGCAGCTTACAGGGACTTGCTGGGAGACTGCGCGCTGCCTGTACTCACTGAAGCCGAACAGAAGACAGTCTGTCCGGAGATGTTGCAGATTTTGGAGAATGTCGACGACACCACCACGTTACAAGACTTTTACTTCCAGGTGGGTGGATATATGTATTATACGTGGCTTTGGGATAGCTGCAGGTGGACAACTTTCCCAAATCACACAGCATTTATTGCTGTTAATCACAATAGTCAATTATAGCTGGAGATAAATAAAACCTCTGATCTGTAGGAGACGATGATTATATATCAGTAATATTGTATACCTGTGTCACAGATTTCCCTAATGGTTTTAGATGTTGCATGTGATTATAAAACACAATAACTGTACAACAAGATGCGTGAATATCGATTGGCCTAGATTTTGATTCCCAGAAGGATAACAAATTGTTAATACAATCGACCGAGCGTTAAATTCTCAAAAGCGTGCACAGGGTTTTTTTCTCTAAAATAAATTAAAAATATTGCGCATCGTCTATTTTTTTGGTTAATACGACTATCCTTTGTGCTGAAAGTTCGTTAATGAAGCCCATGAGCGTCGTTTTCATTACACGCTATGGATTATTCCACTGTCAATTATTGGATTTCATTTTAATTTATGATATTTGCAAACCTTTCAAGGATTGAGCAAAATTAATTTACTGATGTTGTTAAATATTATTGTTGGTGCAAATATTTATTTATTATTCTGGCATTCGTTCATCGTTGGATTTTCATATTACATTGTTACAGTATTTTAACTTGAAAGTTAAGTGTGCTTGTAATTTGTTTATATAAGTATAATATAAATAAACACTGTGTGTTGATCAGTAATGTAATTATAGATTGCATTTACATAGACTATAGACATGGCCTTTTCATATATGTGCTGCTGTAGTGTGAATAATCTGCAGTTATGTAATAGCTATAATATAATTTACAGCAGTATTTATTTCCAGTTATACACTTATACATAGGTACTTAAAAGGTTATATAAAAAAATATTCAGGTTTTTAGTTGTGTGGGATCGAAGCCTCACCACTCACATTGATGTTTAAACTTTAAAATGTTAGACAACCAGAAATGTTAATGGATTTGCATCTAAGCATATTTCAAATAAACTGAAATGAATTGATACAAATATAGATATTTGATCATTTTTATTCTTTAACCATATATAATAATAAATTA